TTCAAATTTGCAATTTCATATTAAATTTTTATACATAACATGACATAATGACCATTTAATATTCTCAAAACACTCTGAAAATTTATCTAATGTACAAATATAGTCTAATTTATATAGACATTTAAATTCACAATTTCAGACTTGTTAAAAATTGTTGCTATTACAGATAAAACGTTGGTGAGCATCCCAACAAATAAATATTCACAAACATGTCTATAGGCTGGATTCTTAGAAACCCCATAAGGTTTTTAAAACATACTAAAATATTTCCTACAAAAAAATCTTTAACAAAGTACACTCACTCAAGTAGTATTTGAGGACACGTGTTTTCACAGCTCCCTCACCAAACGGGGTACAGTATTCACTTTTAAAAATCTTTAAATGAAGGATGGGATAAAAAAATACCTAATTTGCATTTATTTGTGAGGCTAATATTTGTTTATTGTTTATCTGTATTTCTTTTTAGGAAGATTATGTTACACCCCTTTGTCCATTTCCCTATTGAGATTTTATTTTAATGTTACCCTTTGATTTAAAGACTTCTTCAGGATTTTAATTCTTTTCCGTATTTGTTATTCAGTTTCCTCATAGTTTGTCTTTTAATTTTGTTTCTGATTTATGATATTCAGATAAAAAGTAATGCTGTGTCAAAGTTGTTAATTTTTGCCTTCCATTGCTTTTATTTGCTCACAAGGTCCTTACAATTGCTGACATAAATAAATATGTAATTTTATCGATTATTTTTCTTAGGCTTTATTTGTTTATTACATTAACTTTTGAAATCATTAGTACACTTTTGGTGTAGAAAGAGGGGTCAACATACACTTCTGATTCTATTTACCTGATAGTCAATCATTGATTGAACAATCAGTCCCTCATTTTCCTATGGTTTATGAATCAATCCTTGTCCTATACTAAGTCCCACAATATATCAGACTCTGTTTTCACTAATTAGCCTGGGGATGGTCTGTGGCATTATATTTTGAGGCTGGGCATGATAAGCCCAACATTTTAGGAAGCCGAGGCAGGAGGATTGCTTGAGGCCAGGAGTTGGAGACCAACCTGGGCAACCTAGTGAGACCCGTCTCTACACAGAAAAATACAAAAATTATCTGGACACGGTGGTGAGCGTCTGTAGTCTCAACTACTCAGGAGGCTGGGTAGAGAGGATGGCCTGAGTCCAGGAGATTGAGGCCACAGTGAGCCAAGATCACACCACTGTACTCCAACCTGAGTGACAGAGCAAGACTCCCTCTCAGAAAAGTTTTTATAAAAATACACACATGAGCGCACACACACACACACACACACACACACACACACACACACACATATAAATAAATAATATTTTGAATTTAGGAAAATCAAATTTCTCTATTTATTTCTTGTTCTTTAAAAATCCTTCTGTCAATTATTTTTAGGACTTTGGTATTCCTGCAATATTTTTTATTAAATTGTTTTAAAGTTTCTAAGTATTGATACCACAAATGTTTCTTGAAGAACTAGAATAAGAAAATTACAAACAAATGAGTCTGCCCACTTTCAACTCCTCCCTTTTCTTAGATTACTATTGTCTTTTTTTTTGAGCATGTACTTTCAGGATTTCTATCACAAATAGTTTGGTAGTTTTGTTCCTATTCTTCCTTGTGAAGAAAAAAGAAATGTGTCAGAGCATGTTCTATTTTCGCAACATAGAAAAAATATTTGATGTAGTCTATTATAGGATTGCAATGTTTTTTTAAAAAAAATCTAGGAAATATAATTTTAATTTCTTTCAGCTTTAGATGTCTAATCTTTTGAGACATATAAAAATAAACTATTGAAGAAGCTAGGGTCATGCACAAGCCTTTATACTGCTGCTCAGATCTATTAAATGGCATCTTATTTAACTTGAAACAGACTCCAGTAACTACAGTGTCATAAAGATACCCCTGGTAGCATGTCAGTCACTCTGAAGTATTTTGCTTTTTTAAGTTTCCAAATGATTAATTATTTTACTTACTCCACACACATTACAAAGCACTGTACCATTTAATTTTTAAATTCATTTCTGTATGTATTTAATCAACAGTATCTTAGTGATAGGAGGTGCTCAGTAAACATCTGTTGAATAGGAGAAGAATGGCTGAAACATACTATTTAAATAGAGTGCTGTACAAAATGGCACATTATTAATAACTACATTGGAATTTTTAGAAGTGGCTGATGCAGGAACATAAGCCTTTTTATTCACAGCAAAGCTTGAGAGATGAATAGCAGGCACATGTGATGTGTGATTTATTCATACACACTAGTAGGAGATTTATAGGCTTCTATTAACCTACTTGAGTTCCAATTTTGTCTTAGGCTAGTCTTTTGTCATTATTAGCTATGTGGTACATCTGTGTTAAATAACCGGTTGTCTGTACTGAAATATGCAAGAAATATGAAGACAGAAGGCCAAAATTATATATAAGCACATCATTTCAGTTGAACTGTAGAAAAATATCTGCTTATGTGTGTTACAAAAATTAGACATGTACATGCTTATGCACAAAAGCAGATCATTTTTCTTTTATGGACGTAAGACTCATTGTTATACACTGAATTTATCTACAAAATTTAAAATCCCTACATGAAGTAGTTCCTCAGAATGTGACCATATTAGGAGAAAGGTCTTTACAGAATTAATGAAGTTAAAATAAGGTCATTAGGCTATGCTCTAATCTAATATGGCTGATGTCCTTAGAGAAAATTTAAGATACATACACTTACAGAGGAAACATGATGAGAACACACATTTCCTTGACCATCTACAAGCCAAGGAGATAGGCCTCAAAAGGAATAAACTCTTCTGACACCTTGATCTTGAACTTCTGACCTTCAGGACTGTGAGAAAATAAATTTCCATAGTGAAGCCACCCAGTCTGTAGCACAGCAGTGCTAGCAAATTAATACACTCATGAAGTAATGAAGAATACAGCATGACCATATGCTGAAAAAGAACAATTACTTTGTTCTCTTGATAGTCACGGTTTTGGAAAAGATGAATCATCTCAGCCTGCATACTGTGGTGAGACCTGATCTGATCCCTCCTCCAGGTAAAACGCCATCAAAGAAAGCCACTGCTTTAGCTAATGCTGCTGATAACACCCCTTCTTCAATTGATTAGGAATTCAAACATAATTGATTGCATTGCTCACTTCCACATGATAATCCCATTAGATTAGCCAAGGTAACTGCAACATGGTTGAGGATCTAAAACAGCTTGCATACACAACATGCTTTGAAGGTATGGTAGCTCATTCCTGGATTTCCCCTTAACATCTTAATGTCACTTGTGTGCTTCCTATCCATACGTGCCCAGTCACAATAAATATGAGACAGGAGGAATGTGGAGGGAAATAATCCCCACTCCCCTTCTTTCCCAACCTAGGTTTGCAGAGCATAGGAACACGTTGTACATTTTGCAACTAGGGCAAATGAAATGGCACTGCCAAAATCCTATGAACACCACATGTTGGGGTGAGGAAAGGTCACAGTTCTATTTGTCCTGGCACAGGACATACGGTAACTTTTACAGAGCCCTCCTACTATACCATGTATCTGTTCTTCCAAACCTGTGCCATTGCCCAGTGTGGCAATACATCTTCCCTGTGGACTAAAGCTGGCTCTTGGAACCAGGCAGCTGCTACTGCCATGGCATGTTCTAAGTTCGTAACTATACGATATCCTTCTCTACATTATCTTAGTGAAACAACATGAGAATAGAGTTTTAGAATAGTAATAAGAAAAAGTCATAATTTTCCATGCTTCACGATTCCGAATAATTAATTTAATAACTGTGTCATATGAGAAGAGTAAATAAAGAGAAGGAAAGGGGTGTGGATATATGATCACTGATGCATATACAGTGACAAAAACAAATTACCAGGGTACTTCTGGAAATGAAAGCATGGTAAGAAATATTTTTCAGATGTTAATTTGAATCTTCTACTGAGCCTTAAAGCTACAGTGTCTACAAGTGCACTCTTTATCCCCTCTTGTTTTTATTTGTAGCTGTTATATAACCTTATGTCTCTAAAAACCAATTAAACACCTTCCCGATCTCTACTGGGAGTTTTCCCCAAGTAGTTCTCTACCTAGGCTATAACAGGACTACGATTTCATTTACAACATCTTGCTGGAGAGTGTTTCATCAGAGGTGTTAAGAAAAAGTACCAAAATTAATAAAGGAGGGTAGAAACAAAATAAAATGCAGTTTTCTCTGGACACAAAGTCTCTGGGGTTAGTTCACAATAAATGCTGAGATTCCAGATCTTAGATGAGCAGTTTGCTTCTACTGCTATAGTCTGTAGGTTATCAAGAACAGTTTATTTCTGAGTACTAGGATATATGCCTATGTTCCACATCATAAATATATGCTTCTAAAGTGTGTAAATAATTATTTCCATTAATTTGGCAGATCTAAAAGTAAATCTTTCTTTGCTTGGTCAGGTAAAACTTAAACCATAACTACTTTGCTTCCGTTTTGTCTTCTTCAAATGCTGAAGACAGGAGCCTTGCCCTTCCCATATTAAGACTCCCAATTCCGATGGCCGGGCGCGGTGGCTCACGCCTGTAATCCCAGCACTTTGGGAGGCCGAGGCGGGTGGATCACGAGGTCAAGAGATGGAGACCATCCTGGTCAACATGGTGAAACCCCGTCTCTACTAAAAATACAAAACATTAGCTGGGCATGGTGGCGCGTGCCTGTAATCCCAGCTACTCAGGAGGTTGAGGCAGGAGAATTGCCTGAACCCAGGAGGCGGAGGTTGCGGTGAGCCGAGATCGCGCCATTGCACTCCAACCTGGGTAACAAGAGCGAAACTCCGTCTCAAAAAAAAAAGACTCCTAATTCCGATATTCAAATGATGGGACTGTGTGTATCCAAGACAGCACATTCCAGACGCTGCTAACACCCTCCACCCCCAGGCCTTGCAGAGGGCCTGCCCTTTCCACCAGTGGCCGCAGTGGCTTACCGACAGTGTTTATGCGATCCGGTCAGGGTTTCGATCACAAAGCACTCGCCATCATTGAGACAGTATGCAAGGTCCTTGTCTCGGCAGGGTTTGAAGTGCTCAGATCGCTCTGTGGAATACGTCGTGGTATCTGTCAGGGAAGTCACAGAGGGAAATGCTGTCAGCAGGACATTCTGACACCACCAACTACTGTCACTAGCCCTGGATCTCTGTATGGAGACCTTCTCATGGGGTCTGACCTCTGCGACTCTAGACAGACAGCCCCAAACCTCCATGGTACTGACCAAATGCAGCTGGCTGTAACCACTGTATTCAATTGTCTTATTTCTCCACTACATTTTAACTATTGGAGTCACTCTGGAGAAGCCCCATTTGAGGACATGTAAACACTAAAAGCTGAATGAGCCTGAGTTAAACACCCCAAATCCACTCCCATTAATTTCAGTTTTAACAAACATGTTGTACCAAGGACTGAAACAACATTCCCTTCCCTTTATTGCTGCCAAATATAATTAAACATCTGATCAACGTATATTGTAACTGTTCTGTGGAATCCAATGTCAGTTTTGGGGATTTTTTTTCAGTTACAGCTATAATTGGCTAATAGCTAAGCCAATTATTCTTTCCTTTCTCCTTTTATTATGTAATTAAAATGCAAATGTTCTAAATTCTGAAACAGATTCTCAAATATGAAGAATGTTTTAGTAAATATTTAACAGGACCAATTATTGTCATTTTTTAGCATTACCTTAAACATGCATTTTTAAAATCATAATTACTTACATTCTCAAATTAAGTTATATATCAATATCTGCATCCCAAATACAAGATTAACCATAAATATGTGCTATCTACAAGATACAGACTCTATTACCACATGTAGACATTATTCTAGTTAGAGTTTTAAGCAACTAAACTATTAGTACCAATTCTACCACAACATTCAAGAAAAAATATACTTCAAAAATCAAAGAATAAATTATTCAGTGCTTACGCTTTTAATTTCCTTTACATAGATTTAGATTAATAATAATATTCAACAGCACGGCACATTATACCAGCTTATTAACCTCTATTGTTTGAATGTGTCTCCCAAATTCCCTTTCATGTGTTGGAAATTTAATCCTCAAATTCATATGTTTAAAGGTGGGGCCTTTGGGACGTAATTAGGATTAGATGAGGTCATCAGGGTGAGGCCCCCATGATGGAACTGTTGGCTATGTGAGAAAGAAGGATTGAGTTGGCATGCTCTTGCCCCCATCCATGTGATGCCCTGCACTGCCTAAGGGCTTGCAGAGAGCTCTCACCAGCAAGAATGCCCTCAGCAGATGCAGCCCCTTGACCTTGGACTTCCCAGCCTCCAAAACTGCAAGAAATAAATGTATTTTCTTTATCAATCACCCAGCTTCAGGTATTCAGTTAAAGCAATAGAAAATGGGCTAAGACAGTAAATTAAGGTCACAATGTGCTTCTTCCCCGCTTATCGTCACAACTGATGGAAAGTGAAAATTTTAAAAGGAAACTCACCCCTGTCTCTCCCACATATAAAAATCCTCATGGGGCTCTCCTGGGGCAATAACTTCAAAATCCATAGTAGAGCAAACCAGGGCATGGACCATCTATATGTTTATCTGTCTGGTCTCTTCTTGCAATCTAAAACTTTATGCAACTTAATTTTCAACTATTGTTCTATTTCCCCAAAATACCAAGAACTGGCACATTGCCCCTTCTTCCCAGGCCTTCATTCTAAGTTAAAGACACACAGAAACCCTCAGAACTTAGATGATCTCATTTTGCGCCTCCCAGTGCCTCTTACCACTGTCATCACTGCATTCAACCCTGCAAGTAATCCTTTCTTTGTTTTATCTGTTCCGTTCCTCTGTAAGGTCCTTGAGGGCAGGCAAGGAGGCTTAATGAGAATTGGTGCTCATAAAAATATCTTCAAAATATCTGATCTCTCTAACATCAGCAATTAAATGCTATAAATGAAAGATATAATTAAAATCTCCTTACAATTTTACAAAACTTACTGCATTTTGTACAGCAAAAAGTGAAATATAATTTAACATTTATGTTATCATTTTAGTATACTTTTTATAGTATTTAGTATACTTTTTATAGTATTGATAAAGATTGCAAAAGCAACGCCTTCAGACTCACACAGACCCTCACACATATATTACTCATATTCCATGGGCATTGAAATAACCACTATTGGTGTCCTTTTTCTTGGTGTTGCAATGAGAACTTATGTTTTCCATTTCAAAATATCTGCTTGTTAATACTTTGGCACAAAATAAAGCCTCTGTAAAACAGACATATTTTCCATCTTGCAGGAGATTCTCTATAGTAAAGATCTGTTATTCAAGACAGTATGTGACAAACAGTCATACAGAATCAATCTCTCTATGGGAAATATTTAAAATTCAAGAGCTCTAAGCAAGAAATTCAATATGAAATGGTGCACAGTTGACTGCTACTCTGGCTGCTGAAGTATATTAACTCAAGATCAGTTAGTTAACTTCTCCTTTAATTTCTATTATCCATTTATTGATATTCACTGATCATGCTCCTAAGAACAGTTTTTCATTAACATAATCTACAGCATAAAAAGTGAGATCCTTATTTTAAAATCAGTGGTTTTAACAAGCTACAGACTTCAAGTGCAACACAATGGCAAAGCAATTACAATCAATTAATTTCCATCTGACAACGGCTGTCTCTAGTGGTTACCGCCCCATTCTACCAACCGATTTCTCCATCGTGTTATCATCTATCAACACATTACAGAGGATCAGAGACCCTAGTAAATGGCTCTGCAAAAGTCTGGGGTGGGAAAGCTGAAATATCAGGCTTAACATACACTGAGGTTTTCCATTTTCATAGCTTAAAGAATGCCCAAATTAATTCACAATGGTTTTACTGACTTCAAAAAACCTTATTAGTATAACTTTTTAATAACAATATAATATATAATAATAAAATATTAGGTATAATTCTTTAAGGAAATAACTGAAATTATCAACACATTTGAAACCTTAGAATTTTACCTATGGATTTTACTATATATTATCTATATAGTATTACTCACTGAAAATCACAGAGGCATTGGGTAAGGTAAGTGCAATTCATCATGAAGTAAAATTTTACTCTTGAAAGTCATCATGCAAAAGATGTGTATGGAAATACAGAAAAATTCTGGACCTTTAATAAAATCACTAGGTTGCTATGCTAACTCTAAGACCACCTACCTAGATTTTTGTTAAATAAATAATAAGCATACTGTGTCTAAGTCACTCTTACTCAGGTTTTCTATTACTTACAATCAAACAAAGCCTAATAAAGAGATACTAATAATTTTGGATGATATACACCTACATTTGCATATCTGAATAAAGTTCATGTATGTATTCACACACACATTTAATTTTTAACATTTAAGATATACTACAAAACACATAAAATGGGACATAAACAAAAATAAACCAAAAGTAAAATATAAGGTGCAATTGCTTATTTTCTTGCTGTGCCCTAAGGTGGCAGAGTATGCTCCAATGTATCCAGCTGAGTGTTTTATTCTGAAGAAGAAACATGGAACATTTGTGAGAATGAGAACATGGAGAACTAAAAAAGGTATGGCCCTAAACAACCTTGGTGTATTTTAGTAATCAGATAAAAAACTCTCATCTGGGCCAGGCGCGGTGGCTCAAGCCTGTAATCCCAGCACTTTGGGAGGCCGAGGCGGTTGGATCACGAGGTCAGGAGATCGAGACCATCCTGGTCAGTGTGGTGAAACCCCGTCTCTACTAAAAATACAAAAAAAAAAATAGCTGGGCATGGTGGCGTGTGCCTGCAATCCCAGCTACTGAGGAGGTTGAGGCAGGAGAATTGCCTGAACCCAGGAGGCAGAGGTTGTGGTGAGCCGAGATCATGCCATTGCACTCCAGCCTGGGTAACAAGAGTGAAACTCCGTCTCAAAACAAACAAACAAACAAACAAAACTCTCATCTGTGAGCAAATTAAACACTTTTGGAAGCTTGTTTATATTTTTAAAGCTATGCCACTTTTAAGACAGTCCAATACACTAAGCTGGGTATAGTATATGGTACTATTTTGACATGTACTTAATCAAACTTCTGCTTCTAGGAATGTAATTTGGTAAATAATTTGTTAGAGAGCTATTGCCTTCAAAAGAATTATATGGATGAAGGTTCCTGTAAGTAAACAGGTGGGGCCTAATGTTCCAAGGAATTCCAATTTTTCTTTCAAGGCTTTTTTTATGTTCCCTTATTCCAGAGTGGGTCCTGCTATCAGACATCACTCTCTTCACATTCATCAGCTTGTGAAGCTCCCATCTGACTGGACCATGAGCTTCCATGGAGCAGAGAAGGTCTTCATATTTTTAATCCATGGGCTTATAGATGGCTTGACACAGAGAGGCCCAGAATAGGTATTTATAGAAGGGAGAACTTTTGGCTAGGTGCAGTGGCTCACACCTGTAATCCCAGCACTTTGGGAGGCCAAGGTGGATGTATCACCTGAGGTCAGGAGTTGAAGATCAGCCTGGCCAACATGGTGAAATCCCATCTCTACTAAAAATACAAAAAAATAGCCGGGTGTGGTGGCAGGTGCCTGTAATTAGAGCTACTTGAGAGGCTGAGGCAGGAAAATCACTTGAACCTAGGAGGCAGAGGTTGCAGGGAGCCAAGATCGCGCCATTGTACTCTAACCTGGGCAACAAGAGAAAAACCCCCTCCCAAAAAAAAAAAAAAAAAAAAAAAAAAGAAAGAAAGAAAGAAAGGAGACTTTTTATATAGCATTTTTTTCTGTTTGTGTTAAAAACAGAGGCCAGGCACTCTGGCTCACACCTGTAATCTCAGAACTACAGCGGCAAGGTGGGAGGATTACTTAAACCCAGGAGTCTGTGACCAGCCTGGACAACACGGGGAGACCCCATCTCTACAAATAATAATAAATTAGTTAGGTGTGGTGGTGCATGCCTGTGACCCCAGCTACTCAGAAGGCTAAGGTAAGAGGATCACTGGAGCCCAGGATTTCAAGGTTGCAGTGAGCTGTAACTGTGCCACTACACTCCAGCCTACACTACCGAGTGAAGCCCTGTCTCAAAAT